TAAATTACTTTATTGAGAAAAATATAGATTAAAAATAAATTTGAGAAAAAAATAAATTTTTAGATAATGGGCTCAAACAAGAGCGTGTACGACATAATTAGCGTAAGACACTGTACAAAAACAAAATGCTTAACAAATGGTTTGACATGTCACTAGCTAAAAGTTAAAACTTGTGCATATAAAACTTGAAGTTAGAATTTTAGTTAAAAGGAGGAAATCTTAAAACTATAGGAAATTATTTGTCTATGTTCAATACATAGGCAAATAACAAAACGTAATTCCACGTTTCTATTATTTTAATTTAAAAGCTACTCAACTATTTCAAGAAAAATTGACCTATATGTAGTGACGAACAGACAACAATACATATACATGCGTTTATCTAAAAATCTAAGAACAAAGTGGTCATTTGCAGGGGGCGAATACAGGCTATAGTCCGGGCGGCTATAGTCCAATCGAGCCCGTTTCTAGATCAGCCCCTGCCTATGAACTTAATTTGGAGGAAAAAATTCAAGAAAATAAGAAAATATCCCCTTATTTGGCTTCTTTATACGACAATTAGAACTTATTATAAATAAATTTAGGAATTTGAAGTTGATTACACGACACATATTTCTTCAGTCCTTTTGCAAATAGTGCAAAGTCGGTAACTTCTAAACAAGTTAAGCAGTTGATTGACATATTTAAGATAGACCAATAAATTTTAAAAAATTTACTGCCGGAATTTTCCGAGTCATATTATCCAACGATAATAATTAAAAAATACTTTAATAAATTTAATATATAGATGAAAAATTGAAGTAAATAAAAAAATACAGATAGAAAAATAATAGATGACAAAATTATATTTTAAGATTAGTATTGCAGATTTTCATAGGTGGCAAAAAATTATCCTAATCAATTTAAGAAAAGAAAAGATCTGCTGTCGTTAAATAATAAGTAATAAAATATAAATAAACATTACTTCGACAAAATGTTATCACTAGTTAAATAAAAAATAAAAAAGTAATTTAAAATTTGGAAGACTATTTATTTAGAAATATTAAGAAAAATAGTTTAATAAACTTAATTTAAAAATAAAAATTAGTAAATAAATAAAGCAACCAAAAAAATATTTAACTTAAAATTGTGGAAGACTGTCGATAATATATATATACACATACATGCTTACTGATATACATCCCACACCTTGCACCTTGACCCAACCTTGTCTCTCGCTCGTCGACATGGGTGATGTCGTTGCTGGTTTTCTTGACCTCCTATAAATAATTAATAGCCAATGATATATTTTATTATCTACTAATTATGACGGCATCACCAGTCACCAAAAATATTACTGATAATTTCGGTCTGCGATCATTTACTACATTACTTTTTATTGATATTTTTAGTAATTCTATTCATGAACAGGGGTTATAGTAGTTATCTTTACGTGACAGCTTATTATTTAAGATGACGGAATTACAAGAAATTAATGCATCAAATATTAATTTACCACATAAGAATGACTACTGCAGTCACTGATTATAAATAACATCTTAAAATGCTCTTAGGAATTTTACCTATATCCTAAAAATAAATTGAGTTGTCTGTCTTTGAATTCGAGTTTACTTCTTTATAATGACGAATAAGCATATGTGTATATTTTATACGTAGCACATGTTAAAAGAAAACGTATAGATTTTTATAACTATCTCCAATTTCTATATATTTGTTTGTAATTGTTTATAGAATTTATTTATAATTTTATGCATGTACTAATTTAATTTAATTTAATTTTTTCCGACAGTTGAACTTCTTCAGATAAAATTGCTCTCCAACCGTTTCCCCCTTGTTCTTTCTCTACTTTAGCCTATAACATCTATGTATCTTCCTTTGAATATAAAGGTTGAACCCCAACCTTAAGGGTCTCCCACCGCCCCTGTCCTGAAGTATCGTGAGGGAGGTAAATCGCAGGTTATACCTCCAAGGGTACAGGGTAGAAGACTGCTTGTACACTTGCACTTACCTAAAAGTCAAATCCATATTTCAGGATTCGAACCCTTGACGCAGCAGCCTCAAGTAAAGCTGGATGTCTGCTGAAAATTCTCAGTCGACTTCCAGCGGCGCGGTGGAGATCGGAAGCGTCAGTTGTAGCAGTATCGTCCATGGGTATTGATTTGGTTGCCGGAGGCAAGAGCAAGAAGACCAAGAGAACTGCCCCTAAATCTAATGATATTTACCTCAAACTCCTCGTCAAGTTGTACCGATTTTTGGTGAGGAGGACGGGGAGCAAGTTCAATGCGGTGGTGCTGAAGAGGCTGTTCATGAGCAAGGTTAACAAGGCCCCGCTATCTCTCTCCCGCCTTATAATTTTTATAGAAGAAACAGCAGAGGCTTCAAGGTTTAATTTATTTCTGCATGTAATAACCAGGTTGACTGCAGATTCTACATTTAGCAGTTTTCGTGCGAACGATTTTGTCCGTCTAGCTATTGTCCCAGTTCTCATGTTTTCTTGATCAAAAAAAAAAAAAAAAAAGCCTCAAGTAAAGCTGGATTTCTCCACCTTCCCCTTTTACCACTTGGAAATGTGCCCTGAGGGCTTCCTTTGAATATAGTGATCAAGCTTAGAGGTAGAGCTCAATTCAAATAAGTGGTCCTCTTTTAGTGATTGATGGTCCAGCAAACTCATAAATTTATCAAAACAATGAAACCAGTCAATTGTAATAATTGACAATTGAAATAGCAAATCAAATCTAATTATTTGAAGGGTCTAAATCTAGATGTGGTAAATGGTGTAATTTAGAGGTGTTAAAATAGGAAGTTCAAATCGTCGGCAAAAAATAGTGAACCTTGGATGGTCCAGCATGCTCAAGTTAAGCCAAACGGCACAACTTTTTACTTTTTCATGAGCTAAAAAAAAAAAAAAAAGAAAGAGGGAAGGAAGAAGAAGAAGTTGGCTTATACAGTTATACAAAGTTGAGCAGGTCATGAGCCACGAGGGTCCAAGCCCCAGAAAAATCTTGAGCAGGTCACGAACCAAGGTTTGGATTAATTCACGATTTTGACTTTTATGGATTAGCAAATGCACACACATATCGATATCATTGATATAACCTAATAATTGAATTACATTTTTCTACAGGCATTAATAATTTTCTACGGTCACTTTCAAATAAAAAATATTTTCCCATTTTTTTTTCCTTATAATTTTCCCTACTTTATAGTCGCAATTTGTTTTTTTAAATAAGATATTTTTGAAATAATCACTCCAACGCAAGGGCCGAACGAGACCAAAAAGGTATTTCAATTATATAATGAGTATGTCTATATTTGCGGGCCCAAATTGATGGAATCATAACTCTTATTCATGAGTCAGAGTCTCGCTTCTGACCATTTATGCTGTTGGAATCACAGCAATCAAAAAATATGTAATTCAGTGTTAATCTTTCTCTACTCTTCGGGGGATGTGTATGCAATGCATTGGAATGTGCACACAACCTTCATTTATGTGTTATGGTAACATAAAAATAAATGGACTCACCAACATTTTTAACTCTTTTAATTTCTATTACTTTCAATAAATTTAAACGAAAATAAAATAAAATTGGATAGTCATTTGCATCAAGAACTCGACCTCATCTCTTCTTGATTGCAACTTTGATATCTGATATTGTCAATCTTTCGCTAACATAGAATGAAGCAACATATATCTCAAATTCAAAAATTGATTAGACAAGTTCAAAACGTGTAAAGACTCATATTCAATTTTTACAATTGACTTTCAAAATTAAACAACTTTTTTCTTAATAGTGATTTTAATAATACATTACTTCCTAATTGTTTACATTGATCATGATGTTTGCTTTTAACATAATTTATCCCACCCAATCTTTCACTATTAAAGATAATATTTTATTTCTTTCAACATCAAAGAGAATATTTTTGGGTTAGACCATTGAACTTCAAATATGTATGTCGTGCCTAGTCTCTTTATGGCATCACCTTGAAATCTTGAAATTTCAAAGCAAACTATACCCTGTTTGAGTCCAATTTTTTTTTTTAACTTATTTTTTTAAAATTCATTTCCCATCAAATCTTCTCCCATAAAATAAATTTATACGTAAATTTAAAATTTTTCATTATTTTTTAACCATTCGTTACCTTAAAAATCACTATTACAAAATTCATTTTTCCCACATAACGAGGCTCAAACAAGGGCTAAAGAAATAAATGAAAGATAGGATAGAGCATCGAGATGCGATCCCTGCAACTTGAATGTCATATTGCCACATAGGTCATATAGCATAAATGGTCTCGAGCAACTCGAAAGTCCCTAAGATTCTAGGTTCAAGAAAAAATGGCTTAAAAAATCGCTTTAAACACTGTCGAACATACTTTAATCTACTACAACCAAGTCGTTAAGATTCCAGCTAAAAAAAATAGTTTAAAAAATCGATTTTAAACACGTTCAGACATGAAATAATATGCTAAAACCCAGTGCTCTTGCACATAAAAATTTAGTTGCCAGTCACATCTCAGTTATTCAATAATTCAAGAACGATGTAAGCATAAAAAAATTGCACAAATGATATCTTATTTTTGGTGTGTTTCAAATTATAGAACGAAATATTTATCAGTCTTATACAATTTAATGTATTGAGTATTGTACATTAATGCCCAAGAGGGACACAAATAGAAGGAAGCTAAACAATATTTGTGGTTGTACACTCACTCAAATGAATAATGACATCGTGACGTTTATGAGGTTAGTGGAGAACAAAATCATTAGGGTTTTGAAGATGATTAAAGTGGGCATGTGAAAAATCAATCAACTTCACTTAATCCACTTTTCAAGCTTATTTTTTGGCCGTTCCAAGCACCAATTTAAGTCCATAATTCCTTGCTACAATTTCTAAATTTATGATGAATGTGACTCCAAAATAAGTTCAACTTTTTTGTGATAAAAAAGCTAAGTGGACCATCAAAAGAGCCATACATGTGATATATTAACACTAATCACATCTTTGAAATCTATTTAAAATCTGTTCTATTTTTACTTTTTGTAGAAGAGCCTCATAAAAAAGTTATTTTAGACCAATTTCATCTACAAGCTCTTCTAGTCGCACAAATTCTTTTCAGAAAATTATCAAAATATAAGCAGCTTCCGATTTTTCAAAAGTTTTGCTGAACGAACCCCATAAGAGAATTAATCTAAGAAGATAATATGAAGATCTAAAAATGGACATGTCATGTTCTATAATTACTTGGTTCTAAATAAAGTTGCTTTAGTGTGAAGATATAATGTGAAAATTCCACCTCCACTTGTGAAAAGTATGTCTAGATAGACAACTAAATGATTTAGACCTTCTAAAGTATGGATAAGTAAAAGGAATAGAAACTAAATTTTCGGATAGGGAAGGAGTTGGATTGGCTAGTAAAAAGTAAATAAATTAAAAACGCAAAGCAGGACTCGGTTCGTGGAGATAATTCCAGTTTGTAAAACTTTCTTTTGAAAATAATAAATTTTTTGTAAAACTAAATAACGAACCTTTGTAATGAAAATTTTAAAAATTACAAAGCTAATATTTTTATATAACAAATTCTCAAATTTAACTCGTCAAGGTAACTAAACTAACTCGAACATACATGATTTGACTAAATTATATGCATTGGCCTTTGGAGGGTTGAATATTCATTTTCCCACTGAATATTCTCAAATGTTTTCCAATTATTATCAATTTTTAAAGTTTTTGAAGTTTTCACTAAATTTTTCCAAAATGCTTCCCACTGAAGTATAAAAGTTTTTCAAATTGCTACTAAATTTATCAAAATGTTATATAATCTGTCATTCGTCATTCTAAATTTAACAGATTTAATAATACGATAAACATAATTTTCACACGACATGATTTCAATGTAAGTGCGTGTCATGTCACCAAAATCATAAGTGACGTGCATTTTCAAAATAGCGAGTGACAGATATAATAACATCTTAGTATGTTTAGTGGAGCTCGAAACTGAATAATATTTGAAAAAGTTCGACCACAACTCGAAAAATTTTTAAAGTTCAATAATAACCGTAAAACATTAGGGAAAATTCAGTAACAAACTAACACATTTAACCCAGTCTTGACCCCGACAGCAAGCCCATGCCACCATAAGAAAACAAAAAGGGCTTCAACATTATATACTCTGTCAGAGATTATGCCGATCAAATTCAATAGCGAGTCTGAATTCTATTATTGATGTGGTCACACATCAAAGGCTTTTTGACAAAATTGGACTCCATTATGCCCTATCATACTGCTGGTAGGTAGAAACATTTCTGTCCAGATTTGAGAGACTTTCACTTATATTTAAAAATTACATAAACCCTTCACAGAAATATGTATTACAATTTACAAGTAAATTTTATTAATACTAATTATTTTGCACACAAATTATGTACATTCACCATCTCTAAACAACGGAATGACTCGAGATTGAAAGGCATACTATGAGTAATGTGTAAGAATCTATTGTCATCAGATCAAACTCAAATATTATCCTTGTAATTTCAATGCAACCTCAGTTTTCATTCTCTCCAAGAACTGACAAAACTCACCCGGGCCATCGTCTAATAAATTTTCCAACAACTTTACCCATAACTCAGGTCCATGTAAATCATGATTTGCTTCGTTGATCAACATTTTACCATCGCCTTTCTAAGTATCATATTATGATTTTTTACGCGTTTTTGGAATCCAAAGGGTCCAGCAATTTGAAGACCAAAAATTCCACTAAGAGTTAAACTTTTTAAGAAAAACTCAATATGTAATCATATTGTTTCAGAAAATTAGATTTTTTTTTTTCTCAATTGGATACTGTCAAGACTTTTATTTTCCTCACTTTCAAAGCTTATAATTACTAAGGCGTGTCTGGTTCCTCACTTGGACAATAACCCATCAACTATCAGATTTTTTATCTGATGCCAACTGTATTTGTATTACACTTGATTATGTAAATGACTAATGATCTTAATTCTATCTTATTTGAAACTCAGCCACCAAACCACCATTAGAAACCTGGCTACCACGGCCCCAACCAATTGATTCTTGCAACTCAGAAATGTGCAGGAGCTAGTTGGCCTCCATTCAACTTAAAAAAGCAACTATGACATCAACCATGAGGGGGCATCCATCCCCATCATTAATGCTAAGTATGAAGTCAAGATTTTTTTCTTCAATTGTAGTAATAAGACCTTACAGCCAACAAGGATTGTTTATATAACATTTTTTAATGAAGGAAATATTCAAAATCCAAAAATCACATTTGAGCTATGAGGTGAAAACACCACAAATCAGCTTGAAGCAAAATTCTAATATCAGATTTTGAGGTGTCTCATTTTTCCTCCTCACTAGGCATAGATGTCAGGTGTGTCGGTCCATGTATTTCAATATCCGGAACCATCCGTCACATTTTGGATATTTTGTAAATGGAACAATTCGAATCCACTTCATTATCAGGATTGAACCCA